CCTTGAAAATTTCAGCCTCCCATCTTTCCTGGTTCCCGAGTTAGCCATTTTCCCGCCAAAAAGTTTTACAGGGCCATACGTGAGAACTACGGATGACTGGGGACTGAGTTTGATAACTTTAAGTCGTATATGGGTTGGGAACATTCCTCGGAAATTTCAGCCTTTCAGCTTTTCTGGTATCCGAATTAGTAATTTTCCCCCTAAAGCTTTCATGCGCTCTTAATTGGATACCACGCACATCTGGGGGCTGAATTTGAATAGCCAGTAAATGCACAGGGAATATCTGCACAAAGTTTCAGCCTCTTAGCTCGTGTGGTTCCCGAGACCGCTCTCCCGCCAAAAAATTTGCGTATTTTTTTAAGGGGCCCGTACTCGGCGCCCAGGCGTCTGCAGGGGATGATATTAAAATGGGAGGGCCGCGCATGGTATGGGCACATATCTTCCAAAAGTTTCAGCCTTCTATCTTTTCCCATTTCCGAGTTATCAATTTTCCCGCCAAAACTTTGCCCCTCTCGTACGCGGGGCCCAGACGTGCTTGAGAGATGGTACCGCGGTTCTGGGGTGGTACTTGGCCGGGTACCCATTAGCAAAATCTCGGCGCTGGAGCTTGCTTGGTTGCCGAGTTAAAATACCCGGACAGACAAACACACACACACACACACAAACATACACAGACAGGTAGTCCCAATGCGCGTTTTTGCAATTTGCATGTAGGCAAAAACGCATAAAAATTCCTGTAAATTTAATTATGTAAATTTATAATTATAGCCCGTTGGATGTAAACACAGTTACAGAGAGTGGTTCAAGCGATGACCCATGTGCCGAAATCTATCAAGGCAAATCGCCATTCAGCGAACCGGAAGCAAGGTCTAGCTCTCATGCTCCAAAAAAAGGCTATATCCGAATTTTATCACTACCTGTACGACTGAAATCTTAAAATCTTTTCTAATTTGTCGATTTCTGTACCGCAGCGTTGATTTTTATAGTTCCATGTGCTTTTACTACCACTGGAAACAACTTCAGCCTCTACCTTATTCTGCCTGATCTATCCTCATCCCCTCGTCGCGTCTAAAATCTATATGGGAATCCAGAACGGGCTGCTGGGGAGAAGGAAAAGGAGGGGGGGGGGGTCGATGGAGGATGAGGAAAAGGGTCCCCTCCCACCCTGGAACTATGCTAAAACTAGGAATGGAGTTGCAACATTGCTACTTAGAGTTGCTTTAGGCTTTGGTTTACTTTAGTTTTAGCTTTAGACTCGGGCTTTTGCAGCACTGGCGCCTATGCCACTGGCGAGGGAAGGGAAAGGGGGTCCCCAGATCCGCCTATGCTAATATTCCACTTGTTTGGCAGTTGTCCGTTCGT